CAGTTTTTCCCAATCCTCAAACTGTATATTGTAACCAAAATCTCTGGCCCATTGTACCATTACCGATTTAACTTCTTCATCTTTCATATTCCATTCCAACAATATTTTATACATTTTTGACAAAATTTTACAATCATTATTTATCACATCTATCTGAAACTTTGAGTCTTTTTCTGCATAACCGCTTTCTTTAATGTCTTTTTTAAACATTTCATTAACCTGAAAATAATACAACCAATCATAAACATGTTCTCTGACTTGTTCATATGGCTTTAGTTTCCATTTTCCTCCTTCTTTGGTTATCAATTCACCATATGTAATCCAATTACCTCTCATATTTATTTTCTTTACACTCATAACCTCTAATGGAGACAACCAGTGTGGAACTCTTGGTTCTAATAGGTTTTTGTACCTATCCCATATTTCTATTAGTGAACTCCGGAATATGTGCTTCCCAAAGCCTGTATGAATTTTCTTCTTTTCACACCATAAATACACGTGCCATCCAAATCTGTTATCAAATCCTTCTAAATCTAGTAGCTCCTTCCGGAGGTCCGTTCTTAACCTGAAACTGTTCTTAACCTGAAGCACCACTTTAGCTAATGGGGCCTCCTGCTGCCGCCGCACCACCAGAGCACGATTTCTGTTCTCATCCTGAAGCAAAGTTCTTAACCCAAGTTACTATTTCTGGGTTAGCGGAGTCTGTAATCTGAAGCGTATGTAACCTGAAGCGTATGCAACCCGAGGTACCACTGTATATGAATACAAACGTGTGAATATTAGAGAAATTCACACGAAAATGCTGGTGAATTTTCAGGATTACTTTTTTTAAGAATTTCAAACTGATGTTGAAATAAGGAGAACAGAAAATGTGGAGAACAGGATAAATGAGAAACTGCAGTTGACATATTCACCCATGCCTAGTCGAGAGCACAAGCAGACAGAACTCTTACAGAAGTCTTGCATACTCCAGCATATTCTATCCCCCCCATCACATTCCAGAACTCAATAAGCACTTTGACCTGAGCAAGACCCACAATTTAATCAGACTGAACTTAAATTTAAACTAAATTTCCTTTTAGGCATAACTCAGTAGAAACTTTACTATATATAACAGTGGCAAAGTTAGAATAATTGAATAATAGAATACTGAACTCAAAGTAGAAAGTCACATGGCTATGTTCCCTTAAGCATAACCATCTGGTAGTGTTTGAAATGGGTAGCAAAGTTTTCTTGATGTATTAATGTTGTTTTTGATTAAGCAACAGAGCCACCTAAAACACATTCTTGTGGTTAGGAATATTATGAGGAAATGCACTGAAAAAGATTGCATGAATGTGAAGACATGTAAAGAACCCAAAAGCAAATTAGGATGAATGCTTATTGTGATATAATCACACCGTAAACAAATCAGAATGAATGGTCATTGAAGAGCAGACATAGTCAACACACTGTGCAAGCTTTGTGCAAGCAAATCAAAATGGATGCTGAATAAACAGTTCATCTGGAGGAGCCCACATTTATATATAACAATATCCATAGAGAAACTAGAAGGAAAAGTACCATCCTTGTGACGGCAGCTAATGAACATCAGTGGTATATCAACAGTCTTATAGCTACTGTCAAAATATGGTTGTGTAAATGAGAGTGGAGTACTAGTTATTTGAAGACAAAATTCAAATGAAACTCAGCATGAAGATACTGAATTTATTGCTAAGTATTGTAATGTTCAACCCATCTGTTTGTATTGGCATATTTTCTCATTTCAATACATCGGGCTAGGATGCTAGTGAAAGCCACACAGATCCTTTACATATAAATATGGAATGAAAATAGAGAAATGTAAAGATGATGATGACGACGACTGCTAAATCACTGCATAGTTCCAGCCGTGTCTGATGCTGTGCAGGTGAAAAAGACAGTGTTTGTCTGCCTAAGGGACAAAGCTGTATCTTTGTCATTTTGCAGTTGAGCTATTGCTTGGGCAGTCAGCATGTATCAGCTTGGTCTTAGGGAGGCAATTTAATGGAAGGTGAAAGGTCAAAGATAAAAATATAAATCTGAGCTCCTCTGCCTCCCCTCCCCCCTTACTGCCAAAATTAAGGCTCTAAGCCTCCCAGGGCAGAACTCTTATTTGCTTTGGGCTTCAATTGTTTACTAGTCCTACTCAGTTGATTTATATACAGCATTTTTCGGAAACCTAGGTAAAGGTAAAGGGCCCCCTGACCATTAGGTCCAGTCATGACCGACTCTAGGGTTGCGGCGCTCATCTCGCTTTATTGGCCGAGGGAGCCAGCGTACAGCTTCCGGGTCATGTGGCCAGCATGACTAAGCCGCTTCTGGTGAACCAGAGCAGTGCACGGAAACGCCGTTTACCTTCCCGCCGAAGCGGTACCTATTTATCTACTTGCATTTTGACGTGCTTTCAAACTGCTAGGTTGGCAGGAGCAGGGACCGAGCAACGGGAGCTCACCCCGTCACGGGGATTCGAACCGCTGACCTTCTGATCGGCAAGTCCTAGGCTCTGTAATTTAACCCACAGCACCACCCGCGTCCCGCTTCGGAAACCTACCTTTACTCAAAGCAGGTCGCGCACACAACCACACCCAAATATAGTCTAAATACAGTACGATGCATAAGGAAATGTATAATACCCCTACTACATAAGACTAAAAAGTAAGTAATTAACAGTTCATTTAACACGCATGAAAATGTAAGTGACCATAAAGGTTAAAAAAAAACATTAACTTCAAAAGGATCTCTAATGCCAGTAATGTCAGTGCATATCCATGCTGCTCCCAACCATCTTCTATATGTCAACCCAAAGTTCCAGAACAATCATGGCCTTCTGAAAGCTGGAGGGTGAGGCAAAGCCATCTCCTGAGTAGACACATTAAAGGCCATTGACCTAAATTAGGCATGTTCATTAATTTCTATGGTCTACTCTGGCTACCACTCAATGTCTAGGGCATTTTAGTTTAGGGGTGGGGTGGGGAGAGATATGACATTGGCATGTTGTGGGGGAAGTGGTTAGAGATAGTTTTTTCTCCTTCTGTCATAACACTAAAATTCAGGGGCGCCAACTTGAATAAGATATTGGGGGAAGCAACTGCTGCCCTGCAAAACCAATCACATGACATAGCACACACACCCCACGTGAATGGCAATGGCCATCAACTTCAGAGGGCTGCAGCCCCCTCAAATATTTTCTTGGGGGAGTGGTGAAGGGACCTTGGCCCCTGGGAGTTGGCTCCTATGCTAGAATTCATTGACACCAATGAAGCTGAATATTGATATAGGCCAGACAAAAGGAGGTACTTCTCTGCACAGTGCATAGTTAAATCATGGAGTTTGCTAGTACAAGAAGTAGTGATGGCTGCTAGCAAAATGTCTCTGAATGCTAATTTCTAGGGAACGTGAGCAGGAGAGTGTTGTTGCCCTCAAGTTCTGCTTCTGGGCTTCCCATAGACATCTGGGTGGCAACTGTGGGAACAGGATTCTGGACTAGATGTGGCTTTGGTCTGATCCAGTGAGACTCTTCTCATGTTCTTAAGTTCTATATATCATTAAAAAAAAATTAAACAAATTCATGGTGGATTGGTCTCTGTGGGAAAACAAGATGCTGGAGTAGGTGGAGATGTTGTCTGTTCCAGCTGGGCTTTTCTTACATTCTTATGATCTTAAAGTCTCAGGTTCCATCCTTGGCATCTCCAGATAAGACAGAAGGGCCTGGGAAGACTGTGGTTGGAGACTCTGGAGAGTCACTGAGAGTCAAAGGAAACAGCACTGAGCAAGATCTTCTGACTCCATATCCGTGAGCTTCATATCCCCCATTGCTTGAATTAAATTGCATGCCATAGTATCTGTAAATCTTGCTATCTAAAGGCATCCCAAAGTCAAGTGCATTTATACTGGCAATATAATTCTTTTGAATCTTAAAAAATTAAAAATCAATGTAATTATGAACTGAGTAGTAGATCTGTGCTGTATAATTCCAAAAAGATTGAAGCCAACTATTTAGGGGAATTACATTAAGTATGTCCTGGAGGTGAGGTTGGAAATAATTGCTAAGAAGCTCGTTTAATGGTCTAACATTGAACACTGGTGTGACCTTCTGTACCTGGGAGCTCGAGACTAATTAGAAGGGAAGGGAAATTGGGGTCCGAAAATCAATATAAATTATGCAAACTGGACAAAAATGCTAATGGGATAAACCATGGACGACAAAAAAAATAAAAAATCTTAACACAGCTTCATTGACTAGTGTCGTGCTATCATTATGCTTTTAAGGAATAATTTCTGAACAGAAGTCTGGAGATCTTTACTGCTAATTTGCTTGCAGAAAAGACAGTTCACAATCTGCTGCTACCTCTGCCAAAAATTCTGTCTTCTTCCATTATCTCACTTCCTAGAAGGCACATGGTAGATGGAAAAATGGGAGGTGTGATGCCAAAACACAATTTTTCATACTAAGATATTACAGAACTGTGTCACTAGAGAAGCTAACAGTCTTCCACTATCCCCTCACATGGGTAAGTCACATGTAAGAATGCTGGTGTTCAACTTCCTCTCTTCTTCCCTTCTTTTCTCTGCTATGACAATGATCCTTTCACTTGGGACTTAACACCAGTGAGAAGCCCTGTCAGTTTTCAGGGACATGAGTCCTAGGAGCATTAATATATAGTACTTTTAAAAATATTCTCTTTTACTTTCCTGCAGAAATCATCTTTATCATGTAAATTCTTGACTGGTCTCCTTTTCAGAGCCATAGGCTCCCAGAGACAGTTCAAAAGTAAAACCTGGGAGATGGAGAAGTTTCTGTACTCTATCTCTTTCTCTCTCCCACTGGATGGTAGGTTGAGGCATGACTGCTGGCTGAGCATTCAGGTGACACCACACACTCTTCCCTATGTGCTTTTATTCCATCACAACACCCACTGTGAATCCAACTCCAGGGACTGCCTTCAAGGTTCTGAATACTGTTCATTGCTTACTTTTTCTTCATGTGTTTCACAGTGTGCTCTCTGACAAAGACAGTTGATGGGGTCAAGGAGAGAGGCTCATCTCTACTCCACCCGCAGTGGCTAGGATACAGTCAGCTGTTCCCTGTAGAGATGCCCATCTGCTTCTCTTAGACAGGCCCTTGCATCCTGGCAAGCTCATAGACTACCAAGACCTAGGGGTAAACATCAGAGGAAGCGAACCACATCTCAGCAAATCCTGTATTATGGCCCCAGATTCATGAGCCAGGGGAAAGGAGTGCAAGAAGAAGAAGAAGAAGAGTTTGGATTTGATATCCCGCCTTTCACTCCCCTTCAGGAGTCTCAAAGCGGCTAACATTCCCCTTTCCCTTCCTCCCCCACAACAAACACTCTGTGAGGTGAGTGGGGCTGAGAGACTTCAAAGAAGTGTGACTGGCCCAAGGTCACCCAGCAGCTGCATGTGGAGAAGCAGAGACACGAACCTGGTTCCCCAGATTACGTGACTACCGCTCTTAACCACTACACCACACTGGCTCTCTACACTGTCTCTGTAAGACAGCCCCCCCTGCTGGATGGATGCAAGTAGCTGTCCAGAAGAGAGGAGGAGGAGGAGAGGGAAAAGAAAACACATGTAGGAAGAGTGCAGCCAATCAGGGATAGAAGGAAACTAGCTGCCCATAGCAGCGTGTGTGGTAGGACAGAGCTTCCACCCCTCCACCAGGGTCACTGTGGCTTACCTAGACATGGGAGGGTTGGTGATGAGCTCAGGGTCATGAAGATGGACTGGTGGGAGCACCCAATGGGTAGGGGGACTCCCACTGTTACAGCTGTGAGACCTTGCCCTTCCAAATGTCAAGGAAATTCTGCTTGGGGGTTCAAGTGTGGAGGCTCACACGAAACGCACTATATAGGCAAAAATATGTCATCTTAGCTGCTCATCCTCTAGCCCAGTAGTTCCCCATTAGGGGTGTGGGGAGCCCTGGGGGTCCGCAGAATGCACCCAGGGGTCTGTGGCCCCATCCCTTGCCTCCCCCCCAACTAATTTTTTTTGTCATTTTTGCATGGTAATATCACAAATTTTATGGTCTGTTTTAGCGCTGTGTGGTTTTTCAATATATTGGCCAAAATCGGTTTTGAAATCACACCGCAATAACAATTTTGACCCAACAATACGCAGCAATATATCGCTCCTCATGTGAGGGAGAGCAAAGCAGCCGATTTCACACAATGATCTCAGCCAATAACGGCGCTGGTCTGAGCTGCCTTCCCTCATGCTAAGGGAAAACAGGGCAGCCAATTGTGAGGTGCTGTCTTCCCCTCATGCTGATGGAGGAGAAGAAGAGGAGTTTGGCTTTGATATCCCACTTTATCACTACCCTAAGGAATCTCAAAGCGGCTAACAATCTCCTTTCCCCTTCCTCCCCACAACAAACACTCTGTGACGTGAGTGAGGCTGAGAGAACAGGGCAGCTGATTGCTCTCACTTCAAGGCACTGGGGCACTACCTTCCCCTGGCACTGAGGTGATTCTGCTTCCTCTCTGACTTCCAGTCTGTGACTGCTCCTTCCCTCATCCCCATGCCTGATCTCTGATTTTAGACATCATGATATATTGGACTATCATGATGTTTAGCGGCTGATATATCACGGTGTTGAACACCAGATATTGCTCAGCCCTAGTCTGGTTTTTTGGTATACCTAAATTCCTTTGCTTATTAGGGGCTACCCCACATTTTGTTCAAAAAAATGCTTTGCAGAGGTAACTACCACAGAGTTGTCAAAATTTTCAAAAGTAGGAGGTCCGTGGCTTGGCTTTTGAAAAATAGGGGGTTCTCAGTAATTAGCTAATTGGGAACCACTGCTCTTGCCCAATCACCTTTCTGCCATCCCAGAACCTCCTTGCCCCTTCATCCAACTAGTCCTTGAAATGCAACCTTATTCAACCTATTTTCATGGTACCTATCAGAACCCTCCTTGTAACTTCTTTAGTGTTGCCCCCCCCCCCAGTTTAAGGTTCCCCCTTAACTGGTCTTTGCCAGCTTTGTAGTCAGACCTCACTCTGCCATATGTGACACTCACAGGTAAGCAGTAGCAATGCTAGTGTTGGGACAATGGACCCATGCCTCGTTCTCATCAAATGCACTAGTACTGCTAGCTTCTAATAAAGGAAAGTCCTATTGTGTGGTTAGCAGACAACAGAATGGTGATGTCAGCCATTGACTAGACCTGCCATAAATTTAGGAAACCTGGTCTACTGCCCTTGCCTTCCCCACAGTACATTACTTTCAGCCTTTTTAACTTCCAGCTCTAATCACTGCCAGGAGGGGACCCTGAGCTTAAATAAACACATGCCAGGGCTCAATTACTGTAGGGCTGCTGATGACCCCAGCCTGGCCCAGATAAAAGTAGGGGAAGAGGCCATTTCATGCTATCAGGTTGTTGGGATAGTTTTCTCTAATTAAACTGGAAAACGAAAAGAGGGAAGGTTTCGTGTGCTGCTTAACAGCCCAGACATCAAAGCAGAGGCATTATGTTCTCCATTGTAGAAGATACAAGGGAAGAGCTAGGAACACTTCAGTCACTCTCAGACATAATAAAAAGGGAAACAGAAGAAAAAGGAAGGAAAGTGTGTTAATGTATGAAAACAAATGAAAATAAAAAGAGTCTTGCTCTTAGCAGTGCTTGTTACTGTCACAGCTGTTGCCTTCAAAAGAAGATCTAACAGTTGCTTGGCACCCATGGAAAGAGGAAGCACTGTATCTGGGTCCCAAACAGCATCTTGCTAAGGTCAAACTCTCTTTTCGTGAGAAATCCCAACCTCCTCTAGGCTTCTCTGCTCATTTGACCACACTGCCTGTTTTCATGACCGGCTCAGAAGGGGGAGTATGAAAGGCAAAGCTTGAAAACAGGAATCAGATTAAGCAAGAAGCTATAGCAAGTTCATCAGTACATTAGTGCAGAGCAAGGGAATGAAATAGCCGAATCCAGTTTTTGGTGTTGGGTCAAATTTGGCCCAAATTATTGTATTGGGGGAATACCCTTCTGGTCAAAAGATCTGTCCCTCACTGTCAAATAAGCACATATGATGATGACCAATGTAGATGGTGCACATTGGAACTGGTGGGGCAGACAGCATGAAGGCCAATATTAGGTGGAGACAAAGACAATGAGAGGCAGATGGAGGCAACTAAACTTATCTTCTTCTTTAATGAGTTCTACAAAGGCAACACTGAAATTCAAAAGGAGGATGCTAACTGCCAGTGTCACCTCTTGGATTTTGTTGAGGGCAGACTCAAGTTGGACAATGCTCTGTTCAGCCTCATGGACCACCCTTCACTGATGATGACACAAAGCATATTCCTTCAGGGTGAGTGCTTTACTCCTAATTGTTGTTTGGATATACTACAGCTGGAGAAATAGGTGGGGCAGCAAATCACAAACAAGTATTGAAAGTTTTCTTTCAGTTCCTCATAAAAGCTACAACCTGACCAATTTAACAGAAGCCAAAATTAGATGGGGACGGTTTGCTTTATGGCCTCCTGACATTCCCCCACCCCCTTCTCCTTCCCCTCACTGAAAATTAATACTGCACAATGGGCAATTTAGATTTCCATGCATTTAAATGAATTAACCTCTGGAAATAAGCACAGACCTTTTTCTCTTCCTTCTTTCTTTTTTATCTACAGGAGAAGTGGTGACCCCTGTTCAACACACACTCCTTGTCTCCCTGAACTTCTTTCTGCATCCTGCAGCAAAGAAGACCGAAAGGAGGTGGCCTCCATTTTGACTTGTACAGTTGTCAGGCATGGAGGAAGAGGGGGGAAATGCAGAATTGAAAGTATGCACGATTGGGAATAGTATGGTAAAAGGAACAAGACACTGACAAAAACACAATTTGATGTTTATCTTATTTCACAATATTCTCTGTATAATTTACATAAACACACACACTTTTGAATAACTGACAGCTTGATGAGTACTAAAAAGGAAATGGGTTTTTTTTAAAAAAAAAAATCTTCCCTGAAGGAAAAATACCTCAAGGGAGAGGAGTGATTCGTCATCCATTTTGGCTATCACTCATTTCTCAGCCTAAACAGTTACTTCCCAAGGGTCTCCATGATTGATCAGAAGCAGCAAGATCCCCCCCCCTTGCCTGCCCCAAATCTCTTTCCTTGCAATTCCTCCCACCAGCTTGTTTTCCCTCCCTCTCCCAGGCCTGTCTTTACTAGCACTATGCCTGGGGCTCTGCAAAAAGATGGAAGCGAAAGAAACAAGCCTCTGGGGGAAATGTGTGACGAAGCTGTGAGGCACTGAGATAGAGAACAAGAGGGCTGGTCCTCGCGGAGCGCCAGAGGCAACGTCCATTCCTCTGGTGTTACTCACAAATTCTCACATGCCATCCCAGCAGTGTAGGTGGGGGCAGGATGGAGAGATGAAGAATAAGACCTCTGAGAAGAAGAAAGGAAGCGTTTCAAAGTGGAAATGCTGCCAGAGAGATAGGTTTTGAAGCTCTCTAAAAGAAACAACTCTATTTGTAATCTGGCCCAGCTGCACTTTGTGGCACCCAACTCCTGTGGGAGATCTGTTGGACAGTTATCCTGGCCACAGTTACCTATCCCCTGGTAATCTGCAGGTTAGACTGAACAGGACACAACTGTAGTGGTGCAGTTAGGGGATGTGTTGTCGTTGTTGATGAAGATGACTTTCTTAATTTTGTTTGTGAATTGCTTCCCACAAGGCATTCCCTCAAAGCAATTCCCTCAAAGAATCCTGGGAATTTTTGTTTGATAAGGGTGTTGAGAATTATAGCTCTGTGAGGGGGAAACTACAGTTCCTGGGATTCTTTGGTGCACAGTGTGTCTGATGTGCACAGCATGTATAGGGTATATAAAGGTAAAGGGACCCCTGATCATTAGGTCCAGTCGTGGCCAACTCGGGGGTTGCGGTGCTCATCTTCCTTTACTGGCCAAGGGAGCCAGCAGCCAGTTTCCAGGTCATATGGCCAGCATGACTAAGCCGCTTCTGGCGAACCAGAGCAGTGCATGGAAATGCCATTTACCTTCCCGCCAGAGCGGTACCTATTTATCTACTTGCACTTTGATGTGCTTTCGAACTGCTAGGTTGGCAGGAGATATGGTATGTATATGGTATGTATATATATGGTATGTATGCAGACTGAAAAGGTTTCTTGAATTTTTTGGACTCTGGGAAGTAATGATCTTACAGCTCCTTCCCCTTTAAATGGTAATAAATAATGTGTATCACTGCACTTTCTTCAAAATGCAACCCACTGGCTTCCATGTATTTGGTGGCCCTCCTGCAGATTGTGGTGAGTGTGGCCTTGTACCTCTGCCTCAGAATCCTTCCCTGATGGCACCACTGCTCTGCTCTCAGAAGCTGTTAATGGAATAGGCAGAGCTTTTGCCAAGCACCAGCATCACTGCAGCTTACTTGTTTAGGGTTAGGTCAGGTTGGTAGCAAGGTCAAGGCTGTGTGGCCGCACCACCCCAACTTGCCACCACCATTTCCCAGTCCTACTCAGGTAGCCTGCAGCAGTGCCAGTGTAAGAAGTCCAGCACCATTGCACAGGTCAGTTCTAACCATTGTTTTCATGTTTCTGGTGAGTTTGGTACATTATAGCTTCTGCTGGTCATCACTGTGGCCTTATTCAGTACAGCCGTGTGTTTGTTTCAAAGCATTTGCCATATTTTGGGGAAAATAAGAAGGATTCTACAAACCCTTTTTAACTTCTCTGAAGCAAAATTTTCTTTCGCTGTTTTCAAACCTCTTTTCCTCCAGCACAGTCTTCATTAATTTCCCAAGAACATTCACGTAATTGAGTTGCTTAGGCAAGAATCTTCATGGAAAGCAAATTTAAAAGTTGCTTATGTTTGGAATTTTATTTTATTTGGGTGCAAAGTGGATTTTCAATGCACACTTACCAATATGTGTGTATTCCAGAGCCATGAGCAAAAATGCGTTAACAAGATACACTTATCTTGCTCCAATAAAGCAAACAGAAAATTGGGAGCCCCTGAAGAATGTAGGACTGTATAAATCCATAGGAAATCCTGGCTGGTATCCTAAGTAGATAAACTCTTCAGGAAGCCATCTGGGCTTCAGCTGTACCTGGGCTGAATCCATAAACCCAACAGCACAGTCTCTGAGGAGAAAATTTCCATTCTTTCTGTGCAGGCAAATAATTCATTTGAAAGGTGCCTCTTAAACTCATTTACATAAATAAGTCTTAACAGCAGCTTTAGCCAATTCACTGAGGTTTTATCCTCCACCTATTCTTAATTGCAAGCAGCCTTCACGGCCCTGAGGGTTGTACAGAGGATCTTGCTACCAGGCAGACACAATCTGTCCGTGACAAAATAGAAAGTAGCAAGGATGTAAGAAGGCAATGATTTCAGTTCCAGCCCATGTTCATAGCATGCAGCACCATTCTTGTTCTCCTGCAGTTTGCCTTCTGGCAAAACCTATGCTATTCAGTTCGCTGTCTGCTATAGTGGAACTTTATGTAATTAATGTTGTGATTCAATGCCAAGGGTGTTGCATTTTGATGCAAAGGAAATGCAATGCAAATAGGAGAGGGTCATCGATGACATACTGTTTGGCAACTGAAAACAACAACAACATCAATAGTGAATACCGACTGTATTCACTGGGTTGAAATACCAGCCAAACATGAGATGAATAAGCGAACATTGGCAATGTTTGCTCCCATTTCTGTTTCCATTGGAATTCTTTGACAACCATAAATGTAGCACCTGGATCTCTTGACAGCACATAATCAAAATTGCATGTTGCAGTGACATGGATTAATATTGCCATTATGAGGGTAAACTAGACATGACAGGAACAGTCATTTTTTAAATAAAAGTAATTTATGTGTTGGTTCCATTCGCATAAGAAACAGCAGGTGAGTAGGATCTGATGAAAGGGTTACATGTGAGGATGGATGGAACAGTCTGTTTTGACCTGTGTCACTTTTACGTGTTTTCACTCATAAATCAATTTTTACTTCTGCATAAATCCACTTTTGGGGGGGAAACTATGAAAATTTACATTTCAATCTTTTATGTCTTTTTTGTTCTCAGGATGTACTTTTCTAATGAAAGAAATGCATTTTCTCTCAAAATGTGCTAGAAAAAACACCAAAAAAAATCTCTACATGAATTTTAAAATGCATTTGGTAAACCTTTTGGGACAAAAACCTGATTTGGAATATTTGTGAAGTGCAAAAACCATTGATAACTAAGTTCTGATCCCTGCATGACCCCAAGAGGTGTAGATCAGGCTGCCTTATATTGAAATTCATAAAGAATGTGCCCCTTAAGCATCTCTAATTAGAGATGAAAAAAGAGATGCACCCTTCCCTGTCTTACCACGTAACTGCATTCTGAAGCACATTTCTCCAGACCAGCTCATTCCAAGCTGGGAATCCCCCCCCCCAAATAATTGAAAGGAGAGAGGGAGGGAAAGGTAGGTCTTCCCCCACATTCCCCTTTCAGTGAAAGTATTAGATACTTCCCTGCCACTCTCTCTCTCTGGCCAACATGTGCAGCAAAAATAGGTGCATTGTCCCTTTTAATTCATCTCAATTGTGACGGCTTTCATCATATAACTTAAGGATGAGGAAACCATGACCATCCAGAGCTCTCATAAGCCCAAGCCACTGCAATCAATGATGAGTCTATCACAAGTTCTTTGTGATATCATTCTTGGCCTGAGAGAATGAGACCTGGCAGTGGTCCTCAGTGAGTATAGATTCACTCAAGATGGAATGTCTTCTAGTGCTGGTATCTTCAGGAGGCAACAACAGTGGCGGCAACCTGAAGAATTGGAGTCCAGCAACATCTGCAGGGCATCGTATTAACTATCTTGGACTTGGATTGTGCAGTCAATGCACCAATCCATGTTGCATCTCTTTGTTTTTTTTTTTTTTTTAATAATTTTTTATTAAGGTTTTAAACAAAGAAAAAAGAAAAACAACACACACACAAAAAAACAATACAAAATTTAACAATAAAGACACAAAACATAACAATTAAAAACAAACTCTCTTTTCCATTCCCAATTTTAAATTACTTATTTTCTGGACTTCCTCATACCTCCCTCTTTTGTATTCCAATCTGCATTATTTGTCCAGCAGTTTCTTTTCCACTTTTTTAAACCCAATCTTTAATTTAATAAAATATTAAAATTTATAACTTCAACTTTTTTAAACATAATCCTTGTTCTTAATGTCATATACCTTTAAATTTTTCCCTTTTATTATCAAATTTCCATTTCTTTAAACATCTTTAATCTTGATCTTTAATCTTAATCTATCCTTAACTTTAACCTGTACAGCTGGAAACCACTTATTTTCAATCCAACATCACTCTAACATTCCTTAATTTTGCAGTGTTTCTGAAGATAGTCTTTGAATTTCTTCCAGTCTTCCTCCATCGACTCTTCTCCCTGGTCACGGATTCTGCCAGTCATTTCCGCCAATTCCATATAGTCCATAAGTTTCATCTGCCATTCCTCCAGCGTGGGAAGTTCTTGTGTCTTCCAATACTTTGCGATGAGTATTCTTGCTGCTGTTGTTGCATACATAAAGAAAGTTCTATCCTTTTTAACACCATTTGGCCCACTATGCCCAGGAGAAAGGCCTCTGGTTTCTTGGGGAAGGTATACTTAAATACCTTTTTTAATTCATTATATATCATTTCCCAGAAAGCCTTAATCTTTGGGCTATCATTCTTGGCCTGAGAGAATGAGACCTGGCAGTGGTCCTCAGTGAGTATAGATTCACTCAAGATGGAATGTCTTCTAGTGCTGGTATCTTCAGGAGGCAACAACAGTGGCGGCAACCTGAAGAATTGGAGTCCAGCAACAT